CAGCTATGCTGATGCTGAGTATTATAATGTATTAGATGAAAACAAAGAGATAGTTTATATTACTCAAAATCCCAATCATCAACCTTATACCAAAGATCATAAAGAGGCAAAACAAAAGCAAGTAGAGCAATAAAAGAAACAAGAATATCAGAAAATAGTCCCTAAACCTCAACCTCAATTGTAGACTAATGTCACTATGGAAGTAGAGAATCGTCAATCACAAACAATCTCTACTATACAACCAAAAAAGATTATTCAAAAACATTTATCTTCAATTGTGGATAAATTAGAACTATACGATATTTCTAAAGATTTGTTGAATACTAGAGCTAATGCTACATATGGACAAATACTCCAGTCTCTGAATCAAAGTCGGAATTTAGCAAAAGACTTAAGAAGGAAGAAACCAGCCACCACTGAAGCCAATAGAATTGAAACAGATAGTATACAAAAGACAGTAGCAATGAGATGTCATATAAGAATTAATAGCAACCCTGTTGTAGCTATATTAGATTCTGGTGCCACAGTGAGCATTATTACTGAAAAATTAATGCAAAAATTGGGATTAGCAATGACTAAGGAATCAAAGACTGTAGTTGTTATAGCTAATAGCAGAAGATCTAAAGCCATAGGAATTATAGAATGTGTCTCTATTACCTTACAAGATATCGTTATACTGATAGATATACAGGTAATAGAATCAATGGATGAAATATTGTTATTAGGAACCGACTGGTTCAATAAATCAAGTGCTACTTTAGATTTTGGAAAGCACACTTTATACATTAAATATTATGGAAAGCAAGCAACTATTAATACTATACATACTAGTGTTATTATATCATTACCCGTCGAAGCAAATGAAGATAAATTTGATGAGGACCAATGGATCAATAAATTAGATGAAGAAGAAGAGTTGGAAACCTTTTTTTCGGATGAAATAAGTACTGAATCGGAAGATAATCTGTACTATAACCCTTGAGAAGACGAATCTAGTCCAGCCATATATCTTGTCAAATTTATGGAAGGTTTAAACCAAGATGATCAGAAAATAAGTTACAATGTTGAATCAGAAGTTACTACTAAACAGCAACAAGAAGCTTGTAAAGTATTGTCGTGGATCATAATGAAATCAGATTAAAATGAAATGAGAGATTTATTTAACCCTCTAAAACCCACTTATACTTGTTTATTATAAAACCTGCTTAGAAATCCTAATCCTAACCCTAAAAAAATGCCAAAAAAATGTACCCAAAAATTTGTATTTTTTGGTGGCTTGTCTATTTTACACTATTCTTTATTTCATTTTAATCTGATTTCATTTTAATCTGCCACAAGTATTAGTCGAAAACTATGACGTCTTCGCCACAGATATATTAGAAGATAGACAGACTATGGGATTGGGATGTACCAATATAGTCCAACACCACATTAATATAGGGGATGTGGTGCTAATTAAGCAGAAGCCATATCGAATTCCTCCAGACACACAAGAATTCTTACAGAAAGAAATATTGAAAATAGAGAAATTAGACGTAATTAGAGTCGTGAAAGTACCTTGGGGATCACTGGTAGTTATAGTTCCTAAAAAAAATAAGAAAAAGAGGATTTGTATGGATTATTGTAAGTTAAATGTGATAACAGAAAAGGATATTTATTCTTTATCTAATATAAATGAAGTTTTAGATAGTTTTGGAAAAGCACAGTAGTTTTCAAGTTTGAACTTGGCTAGTGAATACTGGCAAGTCGCTATGGCCAAAGAAGATAAAAAGAAGATGGCCCTTATTACTAAATTCAGCACTTACGAATTTAACGTAATGCCATTCAGGCTTTGTAACATATCTGCTATATTTCAGAGATTAATGGATTTAGTATTAATAAATAAGTTTATAGTGGTGTATTTAGACGACATTACTATATATTCACATACTTTTGAAGAGCATCTTCAGCATCTTCAGCAAGTGTTCGACAAGCTTCGAAAAGCTAAGCTAAAATTAAATCTTGAAAAGTGTTTTTTTTCTTTTTACCAAATATAAAGTTTTTAGGTCATGTGGTAGGAAGAGACGGATTAAAGCCTGATAAGGATAAAATCAAAAAAGATAAAAAATTATCCTGTTCTAACGATCTTGCGACAAATACGAAGATTTCTTGGACTTGCTTCGTATTATAGAAAATTTATCAAGGATTTTTCAAAAATTGCTAAGCCTTTAAATCAATTATTAAATAAAAATGAGCCTTACGTGTGAACAGAGAAACAACAACAAGCATTTGAAGCATTAAAAAATCACCTTATAACAGCTCCTGTATTACAACAACCCGATTTTAATCAACCATTTTACATTCATACTAACGCGTCTATTTTCGGATTAGGAGCTGTATTAGCACAGTTTGATGACCAAAATAAAGAATATGTGGTGTTTTATACCAGTCAAAGCCTAAATAACACAGAGAAAAATTATTTGGCCACTAAATTAGAATGTTTAGCTGTTGTATGGGCCGTTGAATACTTTTATCCATATATGAGAGATAAACATTTTTACCTTGTTACAGACCATACTGCCTTGAAATGGTTATGAACTAGTGAATTAAAGGGGGCTCGTGCTAGGTGGATTTAAGATTAGAGCCTTATAATTTCACTGTAATCCATCGTCCAGAGAAAATACATAGAAATGCCAATGCATTATCATGAATATATAAACATAATCTTCTCAATAAAGAGGAAACACTGCAAAGTTGTCTGGAAGATTATAATAAAGAAAATATTATCAAAGTATTCATGACAGAATCGTATCAACAGCTCGAGACTAGTCATATAGATGAGAAAATATTAGATATTGTTAAAACTATATTGGAATATTCACCGTCTTTTGATGTTCAATGTTACTTAAAGCCCTATTCTAATGTTATATTTACAACAGATGGTATATATTATGAAAAAACGATGAGTACATGGTACTATATAAAACATTTTGCAAATAGATTTAATAAAAAAGACAAAAAGAAGGGATACTCACGTAATTATAAAGGTCCATCTGCTCAATGTTAGTGTGGAAATAACTTATATTCTCTAGAAAATAAATGCATAGCGTGTTATCTTGACTTAAAATTATGGATTACAGTCAAGAGTTATCCAATTGAAGAAGTAGCAATAAGTTATTGGCCAACACCATGTGACGAGGATGAATGGGTAACAAAAAAATTAGAAACCGTTAGTCTTATTGACGATAGCGTAATAAAAGATATAAATATCTATGTAAAACCAGAAACTTACCTATTATTAGATTATATAGCAGCTGATAATATTGACACATTCAATTTCTCTTGTAACAGTGATCAATATACCTTAACAATTGACAAAACTGGATTAGTTATTCGACCATGGTGGTTTAATATGTTAGAAACCCCAACTCCAACATATTATCAAGAATTTAATAATTATTCTAGTAGATATCTTTGTAATTCGGTTTGGTGGAAAATACCAAACCTTACATACTAAATTTTCGTCCTCAAATGACATAAAACCTTGCAAGTCGGTCACTGCTACCATACCAATAATCAAACAATTAAATAGTTAAAAATTAATTAATTAAACACTAAAATTATATATCCTCTAAATTTACAAAATTGAAAATAGAACCGCTCAAATACAATTAATTGAAACATTATCTTGAAACCGCTAAATTTGTAACTAATTTTACACCTAGAATGCAGAGAAGAATCATAGCTCAAAGTAAAAATTTTGTTATTATCAACAAGCAGTTATACAAAAGAAAAACCAATAATAATCAATTCCTTCATATTATTCAATTACACAAAATCAAACCTATTTTATACTTACTACACCATCATCTGACAGGAGCACATTTTGGGACTAAAAAGGTTGTAGAAAAAATTAAGTCACGATATTACTGGCCTCAAATGTACGACCAAGTAAAAAATTATATTAAAACATGCAACATATGTCAAAAGAGAAGAAAATATCGCATACCTGGACCATTACAACCTATATCAGTAGAATCGCCTTTCTATAGAATTGTGATTGATTACGTAGAACCTTTATCTACTACAATAAAAGGGAATAAATATATAATTGTAGTGACAGATTACTTAACTAAATGGCCCGAAGCTCAAGCAGTATCAACTGCTGACTCACAAAATGCTGTTAACTTCATTTATAAAGAAATTATATGCTGACATAGATGTTCTATATATATCTTAATGGATAAAGAAAAATATTTCGACAATATGATAGTAAAAGGCATCACAGAAAAATTTGTAATTCAGCACTTGATCATTTTCATGAAAGATTCGTTTAATTTTCCTGTACTTCTTATCTCAATAAAATTTTTGTTGGATCTGAGATCTTTTAATATTAATTTTAGCTTTTTCTCTATTTATTGGTAGTTCCTCTATAGTTGTATATAACCTAATTAGAATATTTTCTTCTAACACTTCTTTTTGAAAAATCGGTAATTGTGCTTCACGGCCATATGTAAGCATAAACGACGTGAACTTAATAGTAGATTGTTTAGCCGTCCGATAAGCAAATAATACTGGTGATAAGTAATTATCTCATTGATCTTCTTTCTCAACTAATTTAACTAACGATTTACACAATGTTCTATTAAATCGTTCCACTAAACTGTTTGTTTGTGGATGATATGACATAGATAACAAGTGCTGAATTACAAATTTTTCTGTGATGCCTTTTACTATCATATTGTCGAAATATTTTTCTTTATCCATTAAGATATATATAGAACATCTATGTCAGCATATAATTTCTTTATAAATGAAGTTAACAGCATTTTGTGAGTCAGCAGTTGATACTGCTTGAGCTTCGGGCCATTTAGTTAAGTAATCTGTCACTACAATTATATATTTATTCCCTTTTATTGTAGTAGATAAAGGTTCTACGTAATCAATCACAATTCTATAGAAAGGCGATTCTACTGATATAGGTTGTAATGGTCCAGGTATGCGATATTTTCTTCTCTTTTGACATATGTTGCATGTTTTAATATAATTTTTTACTTGGTCGTACATTTGAGGCCAGTAATATCGTGACTTAATTTTTTCTACAACCTTTTTAGTCCCAAAATGTGCTCCTGTCAGATGATGGTGTAGTAAGTATAAAATAGGTTTGATTTTGTGTAATTGAATAATATGAAGGAATTGATTATTATTGGTTTTTCTTTTGTATAACTGCTTGTTGATAATAACAAAATTTTTACTTTGAGCTATGATTCTTCTCTGCATTCTAGGTGTAAAATTAGTTACAAATTTAGCGGTTTCAAGATAATGTTTCAATTAATTGTATTTGAGCGGTTCTATTTTCAATTTTGTAAATTTAGAGGATATATAATTTTAGTGTTTAATTAATTAATTTTTAACTATTTAATTGTTTGATTATTGGTATGGTAGCAGTGACCGACTTGCAAGGTTTTATGTCATTTGAGGACGAAAATTTAGTATGTAAGGTTTGGTATTTTCCACCAAACCGAATTACAAAGATATCTACTAGAATAATTATTAAATTCTTGATAATATGTTGGAGTTGGGGTTTCTAACATATTAAACCACCATGGTCGAATAACTAATCCAGTTTTGTCAATTGTTAAGGTATATTGATCACTGTTACAAGAGAAATTGAATGTGTCAATATTATCAGCTGCTATATAATCTAATAATAGGTAAGTTTCTGGTTTTACATAGATATTTATATCTTTTATTACGCTATCGTCAATAAGACTAACGGTTTCTAATTTTTTTGTTACCCATTCATCCTCGTCACATGGTGTTGGCCAATAACTTATTGCTACTTCTTCAATTGGATAACTCTTGACTGTAATCCATAATTTTAAGTCAAGATAACACGCTATGCATTTATTTTCTAGAGAATATAAGTTATTTCCACACTAACATTGAGCAGATGGACCTTTATAATTACGTGAGTATCCCTTCTTTTTGTCTTTTTTATTAAATCTATTTGCAAAATGTTTTATATAGTACCATGTACTCATCGTTTTTTCATAATATATACCATCTGTTGTAAATATAACATTAGAATAGGGCTTTAAGTAACATTGAACATCAAAAGACGGTGAATATTCCAATATAGTTTTAACAATATCTAATATTTTCTCATCTATATGACTAGTCTCGAGCTGTTGATACGATTCTGTCATGAATACTTTGATAATATTTTCTTTATTATAATCTTCCAGACAACTTTGCAGTGTTTCCTCTTTATTGAGAAGATTATGTTTATATATTCATGATAATGCATTGGCATTTCTATGTATTTTCTCTGGACGATGGATTACAGTGAAATTATAAGGCTCTAATCTTAAATCCACCTAGCACGAGCCCCCTTTAATTCACTAGTTCATAACCATTTCAAGGCAGTATGGTCTGTAACAAGGTAAAAATGTTTATCTCTCATATATGGATAAAAGTATTCAACGGCCCATACAACAGCTAAACATTCTAATTTAGTGGCCAAATAATTTTTCTCTGTGTTATTTAGGCTTTGACTGGTATAAAACACCACATATTCTTTATTTTGGTCATCAAACTGTGCTAATACAGCTCCTAATCCGAAAATAGACGCGTTAGTATGAATGTAAAATGGTTGATTAAAATCGGGTTGTTGTAATACAGGAGCTGTTATAAGGTGATTTTTTAATGCTTCAAATGCTTGTTGTTGTTTCTCTGTTCACACGTAAGGCTCATTTTTATTTAATAATTGATTTAAAGGCTTAGCAATTTTTGAAAAATCCTTGATAAATTTTCTATAATACGAAGCAAGTCCAAGAAATCTTCGTATTTGTCGCAAGATCGTTAGAACAGGATAATTTTTTATCTTTTTTGATTTTATCCTTATCAGGCTTTAATCCGTCTCTTCCTACCACATGACCTAAAAACTTTATATTTGGTAAAAAGAAAAAAAACACTTTTCAAGATTTAATTTTAGCTTAGCTTTTCGAAGCTTGTCGAACACTT